ACAGGCAAGAAGCTGCCACCTGTCCCCCCTTGGTTGGACCCCTCACGTCCCACCTCGGGCTGCCCCCCCCCTGCCATAGCTGTGCTGGAGGGGCTGAGCTGGGCTGGGGTCCCTCCTGGGTGCTGGGGGTGTCCCTGGACTTGTGGGTCCCTGCTGCACCCCACAACAAGGAGCCACGGTGGGAGGGGGAGGGGGGGCAGCTGTGGAGAGGGGACATGGCCCCTTTTCCCAGGGGGAATCCATGTCCCCCCCAGAGCACCCAGGGAAGGTCAGTTCTGCAGGACGAGGGACAGGGCCACCCCAGCAGCTCCCATTTCCCCACTGCTTGCATTAAAGCCCCTCTTGAGAGCCAGAATTCACACCCAGGAGCAGCTGCCCCAGCTCCTCCTCCCAACACAGCTGAGGGGGGACATCCCTGACCAGGGATGACACTTCACATTGTCCCACCGGTCCATGCACCGGCACCAGCCCCTCCATGGCTCTGTCCTCCCCTGCTGCCTGTCCCAGGGGGAATGGTGGGACGTGGTCAGGCTGGGTGGGGGGCACAGGGAGGCCCCCCCAGGGCTGACCCTGTCCCTCTGTCAGGGGTGTCGTGCGGGTGGACATTGAGCTGCAGGACGTGGCCATCGACCAGTGCTCCAGCGGGCCGGGCTGGTTCGCCGACACGCACCGTTGTGACCTCAACAGCACCCAGGTACCAGCACCCAGCACCCTGCTCCCCGTCCCCTGCAGGGCTGCGGGGGGTCCCCACACTGCACCATCCCTGTCCCCCCATCCAGGCTGTCTCCCTGTGCGTGTCCCTCCCTCCTGGCTGAGCTTTATCCTCTCCGGGCCCATCCATCTGCTTCGTTCAGCTGCTCTGGGCGCTGCGGCCGAGGGGTTTATTGTGCAAATCTTCCCTCCCCGCCACCAGCAGCAGTGGGTGACCCGGCTGTGGGTGACACCAGGGACAGCCAGGCTCCAGGGGCTGGCAGCAAGGGGCGAATCACCCCGACCACCCCCATCCCCTCCAGTGGTGCCCACCTAACTGAGCTGGTGATGCCCAAGGGTGTTTCACAACCAGCAGCATCCCCCACCAGGGCACACCCTGCAGCCCCCCAGCTCAGGGTCCCACCTTGAAGGCTAAAATCTGTCCCCAAGTGGGAAAGACGTCACCAGCTTCTCTTTCCTGCTGGCAAAACCTTCAGGAGGGACAGGCTGTGCCATCGGGCATCTCTCCAAGAAACAACAATACCCACTGGAGCTGCCAGGCTGTTTGGGGCAGGATTTGGCCGAGGGGGATTAGGGCAACAGAGCCCTGCCCGCCGCTGCCGTCATGGCCGGGCAGGATTAGGTGTCCATTTAGGTTTTAGGGAGGGATTTGGGGGCCAAGCTTTGGCTTTTAGTTCTTCAGTGTTTAACCACTGATTCCTCCTGGTCATGGGGGAGGGTGGCATGGGCTCAGGTAGCCAGAAACTGGGGCCTGCTGGAGGCCCTGGGACAGGGAGGGGGTGCCAGGGTGGGGGGTGCAGGATGAGTCCTGGCTCTTCAGTGTGTCTCAGCCTGTGTCCTTCAGTGTGTCCCCCAGGAGAGCCGTGGCTTTGTCCTCGGGAGGTACCTGTGCCAGTGCAAACCAGGCTTTTACAGGGCCAGCGGAGTGGCCAGTGGTGCCCGGGCAGGTGGGTGCTGTGCCCAGCCCTGGGGTCCCCTGTTCCACCCAGTGGCTCGTGGCTACAGCCACGGGCTCCATGGCTGGGGGAAGCCCAAGCACGGGGAAGTGCCACCAAGCCGGGGATGTGGTGGCCTCACCTGGCCGTGGCTCTGTCCCCAGGCACGGCGGGGGCAGACGGGGGGTCCCGGCTGGCGTGCCAGCCCTGCCACCAAGGATGTGCCACCTGCCAGGATGACAAACCTTGCCTGATCCAGGAGGACCATGCACTGCGGGCAGCCGTCCTGTCCTGCCAGGCGGGCTGCATGCTGGCTGTCTTCCTCAGCATGCTCGTCTCCTACCACTTCCGACGGAGCAAGGCAAGACGTCCCCGGGTCCTCCTCCTCCACCCATCACCCCGGCCCCGCTCCCCTCCCACCCTTAAGCCCACAGCCTCGGGGGAGCTCTCGGGGGGAGGTCACAGCAGCGGGAAGGATGTCACAGCTCCAAAACTCCCTGGCACACTCAAGGGGGATCTCCCTGCCCTGTCCTGGCTCCAGGCTGCACCCTCATGTCTCTGTCCCTGCAGAGGATCCGGTCATCTGGAGTCATCCTCCTGGAGACAATCCTCTTCGGGTCCCTCCTCCTCTACTTCCCTGTGAGTCTCCAGCCATTCCCAGGGCTGAAAACCTCTGGGCTGGGGTTTAGGAGCGTTTGCAGCCGAGCTGGCCCCAAGCAGGGCACGGGCACAACTCCACCTAATTGTTAATTCCAGCTGGCACAGCCCCAAGTGCCCGGGATATAAACCTTCTCAGAAAACCAAATCCCTTTTCTCTCTCTGGCCACGGGAACTAATCCCTGCCCAAATCCCCTCTCTCTCCCACAAGCGCTGCGAGGTGGGGCCAAGGGGGGAAGGGCTGGCCCTAAAGCGGGTGCTTGCTGAGTCTCTGATGTTTACTGCCCGGCCCACCCACCCCCCGGCAGGCAGGATCGAGCCCATGCCAAGCACAGAACCCGACCCCTGTCTCCCTCTTACCTCCCCCCAGGTCTTCATCCTGTACTTCAAGCCGAGCATCTTCCGCTGCATCGTCCTGCGCTGGGTGCGCGCGCTCGGCTTCGCCATCGTCTACGGCACCATCACCCTCAAGCTGCACAGGTAGCCCG